CTCTTTTTTTTTTTTTTTTTTTTATCCGGGGACCATATTTTTCCCTTTCTCAGACCTTTACGTTTCCACGGGACCCACAAAAACAGTTTGTTTTGTGCGTCTTTATGAAAATTTGAAGAGTGCGCTACTACGCTATCCTTTCCTTCTTAAAATTTCTTTTTTGTCTTGTCTGGTTTCTATTCCATTGGATTTCTGATAGAAATTCATCTTTTACCATCAAAACCAGCTCGTCTTCCCTGATTCAGGACCAGGTTGGCTGGCTATGAGCCTATGATTGTGATTTCGAAAATGCAAACAAACATTAAAAAAAAAAAACAATTGAGAAAGTTAACTCTAAGAGCATCTCCAAATATAAAAAAAACAATTTGGAGATCGGAATTTGAAGAGTTGCCCCAATCCGTACTCTCCAAATATTTTTATTTTGTCAAAAAAACATTATAAATTAATAATGTTAAATATAGTTTACATTAGTAATTTATTTAGAAAAAATGTCATGTATGATACTTATTTATTTAATTTAAAAAATAATAATTTTATAATAATACTAAAATAAATTAATCTTAGTTTCATTTTAAAGATCTCAACAAGATCTTTCCAAATATATAATAATTTCAAATATTAAATTAATAATTTTTTAACTATATTTATTTAAAATTAAACATCTAATTAAATTACTAAGAATGATGGCAAAGTGGTAATTTTTAAGAAATTAAATAGTTAAAAGTAACAAAGTGGTAATTAAGGAAACCTAAATAGTACTTTGGAGAGACTCTCTAAATTTTATCTTCACTCTCCAAATTTAGAGAGTGAAATTTGGAGAGTAATTGAAGAGGATTCACTTTCTAAATTTGAAGATTTTCTTATTTTGGAGGCCGGTTGGAGATGGCCTAAGCTGTGGAATTTGAAAACTTTTCAACTATCCATGCCAAGTACATACAACCAAACAAACCTTGAGGGAAAGAAAGAAGTAAAATGAGCAGCCACCATAGAAAATCATGTCATATTAGCAATATAAATCTGTGTAATCATTATACAATAATCAACAAAATTAGAATAAAATAATAATGATAATAAAACAAAAAATAATAGAATAGTAACACAATTAATTCACTTTAAATATATATTAAAACAAACGTCATGTTCTCGTTCTCCTTCCTCCGTATGATTTTATAAAGTGCTATTATTTTTCCAGATATTAAGAACCCGTACGCTGGTCCTGCACCCATTTCGATGCAGACCACAAGAACCCCACTACTGCTAGCTATAATCGCTAGCTTTGCACGCTTCATGTTAGGTCTGAGATGCAGCAGAAAAGAACAATTTTTCACTGTAGACCCAAACAGATTTTTTATTACCAAAATCGACCGAATTTTTTTTTAATTACCAAAATCGACCCGTTTTATGCCACATAAGCGTAATCCCATTTCCTAATTAGTCGGGGTTGCCAACCCCGACTGTTTAGGAGTTGTTAAACCCCAATTAGAAGCCTTAAACCTGATTTAATTAGGGTTTAACAACTCCTAAACAGTCGGGGTTGGCAACCCCGACTAATTAGGAAATGGGATTACGCTTATGTGGCATAAAACGGGTCGATTTTGGTAATTAAAAAAAAAATCGGTCGATTTTGATAATAAAAACTCAGTTTGGGTCTACAGTGAAAAATTGTTCCAGCAGAAAAACAAAAGGAACTGAAGATTGAAGAAAATTATTTTCTCAGCTTATCACAACAAAAGAGACGCAAACCACCATTCCAAAGCATTAACAAAGAAAAAGAAATTACAACACAATATCATATGGTAACCATGTTCAATCTCACTGTAATCTGTGTGATAATTTACCATCAAGGGGTCAGTCAATAAGTGTCACAATTAGCGACTGTTTACAAGATTATCAACAGAAATAAAAAAACGCACAGCTATTGAAATATCCAATGAAATAAAAGTATCAACGCTAGCAGTTGGGTTGTTTTTTTTTTTTTTTTTTTTTTTGGGTTTTTTTTTTTTTTTTTTTTTTGGGGGAGGGGAAGGGGGGGATGGGTTGGAAAGCAGAAAAAATTACTTTAAACTGAGCAGAGTTCAGTTAAGAATACAAAATAATCTCCTTTTCAAATCAATTCAATTGGGTTGTCGAATGAAATGAACTCAACCGGCACTCCATAAAGAAGCTCGCCATCAATCTGAAACACTCATAAGGAACAAGATAAATGATCTTCTATATTCATGTTCATAGCGTTCGTAAATCATCTCCTTCCTCCAAATATTCTTCTAATAAAACCCGGTCTACGTGTTATCAAATCCTCGTCTGGAACATTCAAACAGGAAAAATAAGGGAATGGTGAATATGGGGTTTCTGAAATACAATTAATACATTCAAAGTTGACAAATCATATAATTTCTAAAGAAAAGTAAAAGGTTAATTGTCAATATGACCCAAGTGCAGATAGACCCCTATACATCGCCCAATTGCGGATTGACCCCCTTCCTATTTTCCCAAGTGCGGTTAGACCCCCTAAGTGAATTTTTTTACTCTTAAAAGAGTCAAAATTTCACTAGGGGGGTCTATCTGCACAAATAGAACTAAAAGGGGGTTATCCACACTTGGGCTACAGTAGAGGGGCTGCATCCGCAATTAACCAAAAAATAGATCACAAAATATGGTTGCTAAGGTTGGGCGAGTTCAGCAATGAGAATGGATGCATGAACATAAGGCATAACCAGCTATATAGCAATGAACAGGGCAGCTATTTTTGATCAATGGTTGAATTGAATTCTAATGTAACACAGATAATGGGTACTCGAGTTGGTTCATTGGTACAGAATTTGAAGGAAAATCAGTGATTTTATGGGCAGACAAGAATGCGAGCATCCAAATGCGAGGATTGCGGGCAGGTACAGTTTAAGCGGGTATTGTTATAGAAGGTAAATAAAGGATCACCAAAATTCAAACTATAACAAAATCAATGCCTCGACCTTTTGAGAAATTGCTTAAAATGGCTCATGAAAGCCCTGACCTTTTGAGAGTTGAGGGATTCAAGTTCCAATATATCTCAGGACTGGCTAGTTACATTATATTTATCAATTATTGCTAGACCATTGCCTCATTAATGGCCTCAAGATCCAGAATATATGGGTTATGGATTAAGTTCAGATATTGATGCTCCAATATTAGGTCAGAAAATCACTTCACCTAAAAGCTTAAAGAATTGATTTGTGGACTACCAATATCCACCAAGCTAATGAGAGAATGAATATATACAGAAGCAATGCGAGTAAAATGCTTGAGTAGATACTGAGATCACCTTTTAATCTTCCTGCTTTGTACAACATTTCTTCAGCTATCGGTCTCCACTGCTCCGCACATGAGTAGTTTATACCCAAACCAACACTAAGCCCTCTGAGTAGCTGCATTGTCCTGAGGACAGAGAATAGCTCCTCTGGAAAATTCTGGTCAAAAGATGAAAACTGAATTAACACCTGAGTACTTGGGTGAGGCAAAGCACATGCAGCTGAAGGATTCAACACAGCATAATAGCACTAACGTTAAGACATATAATTATTGTTAATAAAAGAAGCATTGACATGGAAGGAAGTGAAAGATATTAAAAAAAAAGGATTTAGAAAAGCTTGATGTAGTACAGGATGGTCTCTTAAAAAAAAATATCAGCAACAATGGTGAAAATGCATCCTTAGTTGCTTATGGTTTATACCACAATTGAGAGAAAAGGGAAAATTATATCTAGAAACTAGGAGCCAAAATTACAGCAAGGTTTCTAAATAGGTCATAAATTAATATAATATAAGAATATACAAAGCATTAGGACAATCGGTAATGTAGCCTCAAGTTTCCTAACAACAAATCAAAACAAATCATTTGAATGAAATTTCACATAAACACTAAATCCGTAATAATAATTCACGTGAATCGATTCTTTGTCTATATCTCATCAAATGACTTTGAATCAGTAAAGTTTAAAAGAATACAACGCGCCTGAATGCAAATCAAACTAGGTCCAAACAAGAACAGATTAAGCGATGGACAAGTTTGGGTATCTTGAAATTAGTTATGAGTTCACGTTTAAATCTTAAGATTGAGAAACCATTTATTCAGTCTGTATTGTCTGAGCTATTGGTTTAAGTTTCTGTAGGAATATGAGGAATAGCTAGACCTTACTTCTAAACTGACTTTGGTTATACACACTCTGTTTCCACAGAATACTGTATGAATGGTATGAAGGTAGCACTACCTTTACTTCCTGCTAATCATTTCATTCCTAAAATTTCTTCATGCAGGTGAGTGGCCATGCAAATATATGATTAGAAAAAGATGTTCCAACTTCAGTTTTATCTAAATATCAATTAAATACTCTACTAAGATCACGCTCATGAATTTTCATGTTGAGGTCACATTGCATTGTCTACAGACCACTAGAAACTGAACATGTAGAATAATGGATCATATATTAGCAATTACTTGCACATACTGGAATTCCACTAACAAGAGCAAGATATAGATGGATGGACAATAAAGAAAGATATAACTTGTTCCAGTTAGATCAAAGTTCAATACCTGGACACCAACTTTCTTCAAAGAAGAATCTTCTGAGAATGGTGACATCACAGTTACTCCTGGAGGAAGATAGGTATCAAACATTCTCTGTGCCAATTTAAAGAGCTCTCTTTGTTCATCTTCACACGTGCTTAATGTGTCAATACCCAAGTCCCTACAAAATGAAGATACCATAACGTATGTGAGACTATGCAATGCTATTTGTGGTCTTCAGAAGAATAATGAAGCCAAATTATTGGGGAGGGTGGTACCTGTAACTTTGTACAACCTTTGGAAGGTCATGGTCTGCAATTGCAACGACAAGCTTAGCATACCCAAGCCTCAAATTTTCAGGAAGCTGCTTTACTTGTCCATAATCAAGTAATGCAACCTGGAAAAATTAATACATCAGCAGACAGGTCAGAAAAATCTTATAGTTTTCACAGGGCTAGACATCTCCAATTCAAATGAATAAATTTAATATGATCCATAGATGTTTCACTCTAAGCATACTCTATGTAATCAGCAATCTTACAGGATGTGTATACATTGGAATACTTAAACTGCATTCATGGTCATACTTGCCTCTGAGTCCTTGCAGATGAGAATGTTCCCAGGATGTGGATCTGCATGGAAAAAACCATCCTTCAAGATCATTTGACCATAGGCTAGAGTCAGATTTTTCAAAATTTTCCTGCATTGGAAAAACATTTGAGAAGGGGACAGCGACTTAGTCTTTAACTAACTAACTAATAATGTATAGTCGAAAAAGAGAATCTGTTGAACTTAAACGTGTAAAGTAGGAAGAAGATAATTCAAGCAATTCATAGTTGACATGGAAATAGTTAAATGATATCATATAAAAGTCCCATCATAAGGATACATCGACACAACTCCTAGAATTACTGAAAACAGACAAGACAGAGATTCTCAAATTATAGTGGTTTAATATTTTCTTCTAACTGCATATTGCAATGCCCATTCCTGAAAACAAAATATTATTCATTTTCAAGAAGTTCATCCTTATCTTTCCATACACACCAAAACTTTAAACATAAATATTCACAGCCCTCTTACTTTATGATTTCTGGCTTTGGTTACAGAATAAATTTACCCTGAGGATTCACATCATGATGCCTGTTAATTCAGAAAACACTGCTATATTAGTCAAAACTTGCCTAAAGAGCACAAGGCCCCAAAGCTAACTTACCCGCAGACAAATATGCAGGTGTATATTTCATGCTTGTTTGAAAATCTACCTACACGGAGGGCTCCTACCAGGTGCATACTTGTCTCGCCTAAGACAAGTCTAGTAGCATAGCAAGAAAGGGCATATATTATAAACATCAGCACTGCTCAGAGCCCCAGTGGTATCTATCCATAGTAATACTAGTATAGTAGCTTGCCGACAGTAAGACTAGAAGCTTAGAAGGTTTAGATTCATGGTTTTTCTTCTTCTTCTAGCAGATAAATTTATAGTCCGCGAATTTACCAGTGTCATTAGGCTAACTAATATACAACAAATCATTTACATGTACAATGTCGATATGCAAAGGTATAACTTAAAAGGAAATTAAATACCATATTTCCTATGATGATGAAGAGGCTTACTGCTTTGCCATAGCTGCAAGCTTACCACCAGGATCAATGCCCCTTCGAGCTATCTCGTTGCCAAGATTCATTATCGGAGTTCCTTCTATAAACTCCATTACTAAGACCTTCCTAATTAACAAAATAGATGATTGAGACATTATTTTTGGACAAATAAAAACCAAATAAAAATGAAATCACTGTCCTTGCGACAATCTGTTAAATAAAATTATAACACGATATACTGTAAATGAAAAGGCGAAGTGTGCATCTTCCAAGCTATGCTATCATCATGCCAGAACATCCCTCAAATATATACAAGAAAAAAAAGGAAAGGAAAAAAAGGCATAATCTGATACATAAATCATTCCCAGCTCATAAGACCAACATAATAGGGATCACGAAGCAAAAGAAAAAAACAGCATGACTAAGATATTTGCCCAGAACAAAGAAATTCAAGCGCTACGTTAAGCAGAAACCCCTAAGAATAATCTTTTTAAGAACTGAAAAAGAAACTGAACAGGAGAAAAAACTTTAACTGATGTCACTAAGCAATCTGATTCACAGTACAGAACATGGACCTGTTTGTGACCCCCAACAGAGTAAGAATTCAAGTTATTAACAGAATTGAAGCACACACATAGATGATGTTGAATTATTATTGCAAAACTTAATTAACTGACTAGGATAAATACATATGACAGTACAGCTACTTCCTAGAATAATAAGATCTGTAGGACGCTTCTTCCTACACACATAAGGAAAAAAAAAAAGATGAAAGAAAAAAGTGATGTATCCATCCAAAAAAGATGAAAGAAAAAAGTGATGTATCCATCCATCAATTCTTACTCTTTTCCACCAAACATACAGATGCTTACAGATTTATCACAAAACAGCAATCTTAAACGGAAAGTATTGCAGATATCATTGCATGTTATCTTGTATAATCTCCAGTCCAGTTAAACTAAACAAAACACAAAAACTATCTATAAAAGTTATTATGGCATCTTAAAAGATCATCCTTCAATAGAATTTTCCCCAGACTTGCACCATACCTGGTAGCCATGCCCTGTATCACACGCGGCACTATAACTGGAACCTTTTTATTGTTAGCATGGAAAAAGTGCCGTATTTTTTCCATGGAAGCAGCCTCCCGGCAGAAGTCGAACTCGTATCCGATCTTTAGTGGCACAAAAACAAAAAATAAATGAGAAGAGATGATAGAACAATCACAAGGACTGAAGTCACTCCACATTTGTTATAAGTCCAATAATTATCAATTTTCTAACAGAATAGTCTAAGTTATGTACAAGCATGAAAAAGAAAAATTATTTAAGTACTCTAAAGAAGCAACATGGCCTCACATTTAATTGCGCAAATATTATTGACTTAAATGCAAAACCTCAGTTGAGGTTCCTCATGTATTGCTCAATATCATCTTGGTCCTTTATGTTTAGGAGTCATCAGTGGGGGTCCCTAATGTCATCAGTGGGGACCAGGTCATCAGCATAGGTTGAGTTCCAGTAAATCTTGCTGGCATGTTGACATGGCAAGACAGACTTGTAATTTCACTTACTTTTTTGCTAATTGGACACCCTCAACCTTAGTGACACGTTAGCAAGATTGGACGGAAGTTTGTGAAAAGGATTCAGGACTCCCAATAATGACTTCCAAACACAAAGAACCAAGATGATATTTGGTCGGTGCATGAAGGACCTCCCTTGAAGTTTTGCCTTACTAAACTTATATTTTTTAAAGAACTCACAATGAGAATGGACAAGCAAACAAAGAGGACTCTCTCCGTCCTACTACCCAGTTCAGCTTCAACAATGGTACTCACATTTTTTTACACAAATGCAATAGTTATATCATAAATATGAACACTGGTTGTTATCCCCTATGTTTGTTGTAACGAAGAGAAATTACATACAGATTCTTTAAAGGTTGCAGGGAATATTATATTTACAAATTAACATGCAGATAACTGTAAGGAAGGGAAATTGCACACGGATTCTTTAGCAGTTATTACATCACCCCTAGAACAGAAAAAAATCAAGATATATAAAAATTTTGTATTATTTATGGGAAAGAGATGATGTTTAGATAATCAAAAATTCTTATGGGGCGGATCTCCACATAACATTATATAGGACAAGACACACAAAGAAGACCTCAAAAGTTTTCACACAATTTCAAAAGTCCATCAAAAGAAGAGGATTGCCATATTGAAAGAAACACGTTGACAAAATTTTCTAATGTGTCCTAACAAATTTAATTTCACCCATTAAAGGTCCAAACTTCAACTGCCAATCTATACTTCAAATAGTTCGCTCGAACCAAAACATGATTGAAATGTCCACTTATTCCTGCATTCTCCTCACAAATCACTTGAACAAGAGAACTTGTCAATCAGAAGCCAAATCTTGATATGCAGTGATGAAGGAGGTAATCTGTAATATTTCCAGCAATCAAACTTTACTTAGAAGATACTTCTGAGTTGAGTAATATATATTCATTGTGTTTTTTGCCCCCCACCCCCCCCCTAGGGGGGGGGGGGGGG